GCTGAGCAGAAATCCACAAACAGCATTCTGATGTAGGTGTTGTTTTTCTCAAGGTGTGTGAGGGCTGAGTGGAGGGCAGTGGAGATGGCATCCTCTGTGGATCTGATAGCAAACTGGTGAGGGTCCAGGCTGGCTGGGTTGTTGTGATCAAATGTGGGGATCAAAGCGAGCATAAAAGGTGTCAATTTCATCAGTTAATGTGGCCTCACACATGATGGGGGAGCTCCTGCTTTTGTAGCCTGTGATGTTTTTGATGACCTGCGACATATCTTTGGTGTAACAGGTGTCGGGTAACAGGTGTGGTTTATTCAGAGCATCTCCTCCTCTTAATAATGGAGAAATCTTTTCCACATCCTACATTTTCAGGTGGCTTTGCAAATCTAAACTTAAGGGCTTATTTGCTTTGACTGCTATACACAACGCCACCAGACACATGACAGACAAATAAACAATGAAAGTGCTACAGATATTAATAAAATACTTGATTTGGTATTTCTACCTCTTATGTGGGTACATACATTTCTTTTCATCTGTGGAATCGGAGCAGTGTGCACAGCAGGAGGAGATAGTCAGCAAGGTGGATTGGAACAATATCTTTCACTGTATGTTGCATGCTTGTTTGAATGAAAATCAAATACTGCTCGGTCACTGCTCATATCAAACCCAAACTACCTTCGATATTTTTACCATTACAACACAAATAGACACACACCACATCCATTGACTTTTGCAGTCAGATCCATGTTAGACTGATATTCAGTTTGCAGAGAAATCTTTAGTGACAAAGCACATTTTTGTTGAGGTGAAATCGGGTATGTTGATGTACTTAGTTTGGCTTGGCCTAAAAAACAACTTTTTGCGTGTGTTTATGAATGGAAACATCTCCACTGAACTGACACTTGTAAACATCCAACTGCCATGTCTTGCTGTTTTCTATAAAGGAGATGGCTTGGATAGATGATTTGTGTTGTTAAATGAATGCTTAAGCACACACATACAAGCACACACTCTTTAAACAAGTAAAGTGTTTATGCCCAGCACATCCAACTGGCTAAGTTTAGATGACATTTTCCTCCTCCTCATGCAGCACGTCTCCTGTTCAAATCTTACTAAAATGTATTGTTCTCATTTGAGCATTTACATTCTACACATACACATCTAAACAATGTCAGGGGGAGAGACAGAAGGAATCTCAAACGAGGAAATTAATCATCATAATATCTTAGAGTGGGGAATGTTGTTAGATGAATCATGTTTGATTAAATTAAATACACTGGGATTTGGAAATCATCACAGAATACACTGAACCAGACAAACTGGACAAAAAGCCTAATTAAAAGTATAGTGCATTGTGTATTTACAGGCTGTTATAATTAGATAAATTAGGAGAGGTCTGATGAAAGTCGTTCATTCTATATTTGCCATGGAATTGGATTTCTCCAGAATTGCTTATCCCAACTTTAAGAAACAATACTCAGGTGCCCATATAAAGATTGAAACTGAAACCATTAAAAGATCCCATCTAATGCTAGCTGCACACTAGGGAACAATTGGGCTGATTTTGGGGCCGATTTACTCTCCCGACAATCGAAGGGGCCTTCCCGAGCCGATACTGGTCGGCAGAGATAAAAGAGATTTTAAGATTAAAATATAAAAAATCTGTTAATTCTGTCATTATGTTTGTGGTGTTCCATGTTTTTAAAATTGATTAAGATTTGAAAATTATCTAGCGTGTACCAGGCATAATGCACTTCCAATGAAAGTGATGGGAGACACAATTTGAAGTCTTTAGAAATCAAGTGTTAAGTCTTATTAGTGCAAAATTCCCTCTTTGGGCCCTATTTTTGCAGTAGTGCAACCACCAGCACAAGCAGTGCTCTGACAGTTTGGTATTTACCTAACATTAAAATTCAGTGGGTGTGAGGAGACTATGCAAAAAGAGTTGTTACTTTTTTGGCAGAAAACAGGTTGACAATGAAAATAGACATCTGAAAACCATGTCTGTTTCTAGTGCATTGCCAATCTGCCGCTAATCTGAGGATTTTATCAATAACAACAATGAAAAAACTTGCACAGCAATAAATAGCAACAAATACAATTTTTTTTTACTGAAAAACAAAAACTAGCCTAATGCTTAATGTGGTTATAGCATGAGGTCTGCATTTATCTATAAATGAATAACATTTTTCTGATGATCTGTTTTCCACAGCTAAAAGCTTCCTCTTCAGTTCATTTCACGCCTGCATCTGAAGGAAGCAGGACACATCTTCTGTTGATAAATCGGCAAATAAAAAACATTCTGAAGCAAACAAGATGATGTAATCATTAACAACGTGAAATACAGTGAAATTACGACTGACATAGTGTCGAACTGATGATTGATCATATAAGTATTCTGCCCCTGGCAGCAGATCTGTGGTGATGTGTGTTCATTTCAGCCCTTTGCGTCACCATCCCTCCACAGGGAAACTGGGAAAACCAGAGGGTGCGCCAAAAAAAAATGTGCATCCTAAAAACACGCATGCTGGCCGACCAGATACTGTGTGTGGAGCAGACAAACCCAGACTCCCTTGTTATTGTTCTTGGTGACTTTAACAAAGGAAACCTCAGCCAAGGCTAAAGAACCAGTTCTCTGCAAATGACGCCACTTCTGTCTGGAGGGAGATCAGACAGATCACTACAACAACCCAACTACAAACCCAAAGCCCCCCACTCCATCAACGACTCTCACCTGGCAAATGAGCTGAACCAGTTCTACTGCTGCTTTGAGAGTCAATTGATCTTCCATCACTTCTAGACCTGTACGCCTCGAGGACTCTGAGACGTGCAGGAAAGATTGCAGCTGACTCCTCCCACCCTGGACACAAACTGTTTCAGACTCTCCCCTCTGGCAGGAGGCTGCGGTCCATCAAAACAGCTTCTTCCTGTCTGCAGCTAGCCTCATTAACAAGGCCCTGGTCCCCCACTGACACTCCCCCCTTGCAAATAATATAAATGTCTCTGCACATGTAAACACTATTTCATTTCATATCATGCACAAACCTGGTACATTGCAGACATTTGTTGTTAATTGTTAATCTTTGTTGTTGTTTATTTTTATATTGTCAGTTTATATATTTTGTTGCAATACGTCTGTACAACACAAAGAATAATGCACATGTTCTGCAAATAGTTATATTACTTCTCTATTGACTTTTTATGTCAACTATATGTTTATCTATGTGTAGCACCTTATCATCAAAACAAATTAATAAAAATAAAGCTCCTTCTGATTCTGATTGTTCTGATTCTGATTCTATATGTGTGATCACAAGTTGTGTAACAGATTTTTCTGACCTTTAAAATGATAATGATGATGATGGTTAAAAATGCCATTATCATTTTGGTGGATGAAAAATAACTACAGGTGCTGCAACACTCACGCAGTCAAACTTCACAAAACTAGACAGATTGGAAAAAACTACAGTCAAACGTGTGTGTGTGTGTGTGTGTGTGTGTCTGTGTGTGTGTGTGTGTTTATGTGTATGTGTGTGTGTGTGTCTGTGTGTGTATGTGTGTGTGTGTGTGTGTGTGTGTGTGTGTGTGAGAGTGAGTGAGTGAGTGAGAGAGAGAGTATGAAAGAGAGCATTTTAACTAATGATCACTAGCTATTAAGAAGTTGTGTTCAGACTCAGCCCTTTCACAGTATAGAAAGACCCTTCTGACATTTCTCATTTTTTATTATATCTTAACTTCAAGAAATCATTTATTTCTTTGTCTCTGCGTCTGTTCTTGTCTGTTAAAACAAAATGATCACCTTAAAGAGTATATCTGCTGTCATGTGAAAGTGTCCTGTTTCAGAGTAGTATCTTTGTTCACTTTTTTTGCTGTAACACTACAAATGTTTTCAAAAATGAAACTTTACACACATTTGACCCTTCGCTAAGCCCCGCCCCCCCTTAGTTACAGGTGTTAAGTCCGACAAACTGTTGGCACTGCCATTGTCTATTACTGCACTCCCCGGAGAACTATTGTCAAATTAGTTGGAAAAAGCGATCTCAGAAAGAAGCAGACAGTTTTGCAGTTGCATTATATATTTGAAGGTTGTATTCAGGCGGTCAGACTGACTCAAACTGTGATGGTGAAAACACCATGTTTGTAATGCAATCCATATACAACTACTGTTACTATATTGATTATATTCAATAAGTTTGTAAGGATTTAGAGCCCTGTAACAAATAAAGTCCATTTTGTGAGACAGTGATTTGTTTTTAATTGTGTTCTCTGTACCCAAGCACACTGGATTTGAAATAAAACAGGGACTAAGAAGTTAAGTGATGATTTAGTTCAGATTAGGGGATGTTAAATGCTAACACTGGGTGAACAGTGTCAGATTCTTAGCCAAACCAATGGAAATGATATCACTATCCTGATAGTTTTTGACTGGACTGTGTGTAATGGAGCGGTTAGTCATTCATACTGACTTGTTGATTCATTGGCTAGTTGCTAAGATATCAGGCTTTCAATAAAGGAGGTATGGCCAAGGAGGTATTTCCCACAACTGACTAAGAGTACTATAGTGGAGGCACACCACCTTGCCTGAAATGAAGAGCGCCTCCAAAGAAATTATTACACTTGCATGACACATCCATTTAATCTTAAAGAGCATTGGCAAGGCCATGTATTTAATGAGTAAGGTGATTGTTTAATCTATTGTCTAGTAACTACACTGATTATGAGATGAGATTGAGTCATGATATATCCTACTGGAACCTCAATGTTTCCCCTAAATGTCCCTTAAGAGGCTTCAATGTTCTCATGCTTCACTGAATTTACTTCAGACAAGACATTACAAGACTAGACAGCACTGATTATGACTGCACCATTCCATCAAATAGAAATATTCTAGGTGTGTTGTGCATTATTATGAAAGTTCAGCCTGATGCCGTATTTAGTACCTCCACCTGGCAGATCTCCCACAGGAGATCCCCCATGGTGGGAGAGGTTAAAGAGAGTCTTACCTGCAGTCTTGGCGTGGGTTGGCCACATATCCTGGGTAAGCTCCTTCAGTGATGTCACGGCACATTTTGCTGTCCCTGTCTGAAGGCAGCAGGGTCCCAGCTCGCACCATCAGACCCAGACAGTGGTCAAAGGTGTTCCTCTCTTCTGGACCATCCTCTGTGAAGAAACAGTGGCCTAGTGTGTCATAGCCCACCACATCCTTTACCTGTTAGGGAAAAGAAACATAAAATTTTACTGATAAACGGCTGATACAATGTCACTAGCGCAAGGATTCACCAACAAAGTGTCAATTCTGTGTGTGTGCTGTAAAAGTATCAGCACAGCCTCTCAAGATGTCACTGCCCAGCCAAGACACAATCTAGCACATAACACCACATTTTGTTGTTTTGTTTATTTACAGATTTAATAAACAAGCTATAAGTGCATTTCCTAAAATGACACTAATTATCCCTTTCTTTATGGCCCACATCAAGTAAAAAGAGAATAAAAACCTAAATTTGCGGAAACATTCATAACTGACCAGTAATCCGTTGGATCCATGAATGGTAACACAGCGGGAGAAGGAGTGGTGGATGGACAGATCACTGACGGAGGTGGGGGGGTTGTAGCCTCCCCTCTCGTCCACGTCTCCGTTCATATGGAAATGGACCGGATAGTGTCCCATTGTCTGCTGGCCCATGTGCTGGAGCTCCACCCCAGATATATGAACTGCCCTGAAGCCCCGCTCCACCTGATAATGACAGCAGGTACATGTCAGTTACACACACACACACAGTGACTTACACTTTTAATCATACATTAGTGCATTCACTTTTGATTGGCCATACAGGTGCTGGTCATATAATTAGAATATCATCAAAAAGTTGATTTATTTCAGTAATTCCATTCAAAAAGTGAAACTTGTATAATGTATACATTCATTCCACACAGACTGATATATTTCAAGTGTTCATTCCTTTTAATTTTGATGATTATATCTGACAACTAATGAAAACCCCAAAATCAGTTTCTCAGAATATTAGAATATTGTGAAAAGGTTCAATATTGAAGACACCTGGTGCCACACTCTAATCAGCTAATTAACTCAAAACACCTGCAAAGGCCTTTAAATGGTCTCTCAGTCTAGTTCTGTAGGCTACACAATCATGGGGAAGACTGCTGACTTGACAGCTGTCCAAAAGATGACCATTGACACCTTGCACAAGGAGGGCAAGACACAAAAGGTCATTGCGAAAGAGGCTGGCTGTTCACAGAGCTCTGTGTCCAAGCGCATTAATAGAGAGGCGAAGGGAAGGAAAAGATGTGGTAGAAAAAAGTGTACAAGCAATAACCAGGAATAACCGCACACTGGAGAGGATTGTGAAACAAAACCCATTCAAAAATGTGGGGGAGATTCACAAAGAGTGGACTGCAGCTGGAGTCAGTGCTTCAAGAACCACCACGCACAGACGTATGCAAGACATGGGTTTCAGCTGTCGCATTCCTTGTGTCAAGCCACTCTTGAACAAGACACAGCGTCAGAAGCATCTCACCTGGGCTAAAGACAAAAAGGACTGGACTGCTGCTGAGTGGTCCAAAGTTATGTTCTCTGATGAAAGTAAATTTTGCATTTTCTTTGGAAATCAAGGTCCCAGAGTCTGGAGGAAGAGAGGAGAGGCACAGAATCCACGTTGCTTGAAGTCCAGTGTAAAGTTTCCACAGTCAGTGATGGTTTGGGGTGCCATGTCATCTGCTGGTGTTGGTCCACTGTGTTTTCTGAGGTCCAAGGTCAACGCAGCCGTCTACCAGGAAGTTTTAGAGCACTTCATGCTTTTATGGAGATGCAGATTTCATTTTCCAACAGGACTTGGCACCTGCACACAGTGCCAAAGCTACCAGTACCTGGTTTAAGGACCATAGTATCCCTGTTCTTAATTGGCCAGCAAACTGGCCTGACCTTAACCCTATAGAAAATCTATGGGGTATTGTGAAGAGGAAGATGCGATACGCCAGACCCAACAATGCAGAAGAGCTGAAGGCCACTATCAGAGCAACCTGGGCCCTCATAACACCTGAGCAGTGCCACAGACTGATCGACTCCATACCACGCCGCATTGCTGCAGTAATTCAGGCAAAAGGAGCCCCAACTAAGTATTGAGTGCTGTACACGCTCATACTTTTCATGTCCATACTTTTCAGTTGGCCAACATTTCTAAAAATCCTTTTTATGTATTGGTCTTAAGTAATATTCTAATTTTCGGAGATACTGAATTTGGGATTTTCATTACTTGTCAGTTTAAATCATCATAATTAAATGAAATAAACACTTGAAATATATCAGTCTGTGTGTAATGAATGAATATAGTATCCAAGTTTCACTTTTTGAATGGAATTACTGAAATAAATCAACTTTTTGAAGATATTCTAATTATATGACCAGCACCTGTATGTGGAAATATTTGTGTGTGTGAATGGCCACATGGAGCACTGTGCATCCAGGAGCTTTGTAATCCTTTTTCTTCAGCCATTGTAGGGGTGGTGGCGTTGATGGATGGATGTGGATGAATCTCCACATCTCCACATCTCCACTTACTAGCTTCTTTCCAGAGCTTTCAACTGGAGTTTGTCCGGTTGTCACAGAGATGGATCCGATCATTCATCCATCATTTGCTGATATGATACATACATGATACAGCTGAAACCTACAGGAAAAGCTAATCTTGAGTTGAGATTGTTTAGTCATACTACTTTATTGCCCAATACTGGATGGATTGTCATAAAATTTGGATCAGACATTTATGGTCCCCCATGGTAGACCTAAATAGCAAGGTGCTGATTTGTCCAATAGTTCTCTCCGGGTGCTCCGGCTTCCTCCTACCATCCAAAGACATGCAGTCTAGGTTGATTGGTTACCCTAAATTGTCCTTAGGTGTGAGAGTGAGCGTGAGTGGTTGTTCGTCTATGTGTGGCCCTGCGATGGACTGGCGACCTGTCCAGGGTGTACCCCGCCTTGCGCCTGATGTCAGCTGGGATTGGCTCCAGCCCCCCCCCCCCCACGATCCTGTATGGAGGATAAGCGGTTGACGATGGATGGATGGATGGTTTGTCCAATATGGACGTAATTCCTCGGGATACTGGGAGTGAAGTGAATTAAAACCTCCGATTTACATACATTAACAGAGCAAAAGACCAAACATCAGAGTACCTGTTGACAGAAAAACCTCAACTCAAGGTAAACTTTCTGGCTTGTTCTGGAGTTTAGACTATATTACACTGCATGGCCCTGCATGATTATGTACCTGCCTTCCTTGGGGATCTACTGCAGCCCTATATTACCAGCAGGTCTCTAAGGTAATCTGGTCAGGATCCATTTGTTGTTCCTCAATCTAAGCTTAAAATAAAGGGGACTGTGCTTCTGATGTTGTGGCTCCTAAACCTATGAACTCTCTCCCTCTGGACACCTTTAAAAAGCAGCTCAAGAGATTTGTTCAGACCTGCCTTGGTGAAATTGTTTTTCTTTTAATTTCTATTTTATGGTGTTTTATGTCTGTATGTATGTTGGATGCTTTATTTCTTTTGTGAAGCACTTCGTGACATCTCTGTTAAAAGCTAGTAAGTGAACCTCGAGTTAAGATTGTTTTGTCAACTGCTGTTTCCAAAGTCAAGAATTACAGTAACTGTCAAGCTCAAATCATAGTAGCTGTACCTGTAAATTACAAAGTCAGAACAAGACCGTACCTTTAAATGTCCTCCAAAAGTGTCAAAGTTGAAGAATTTGCAGGCCTCGTTGCCATAACAGCCAGGCTCCATGTCACCACGGAGCAGGATGTTACGACTCAGCAGCCCCACCTCCGCCCTCATATCCACCCCGTCCACCTCTTCACCCATGTGGATGAACTGTGCCTTACCTGCACGAACACATGCATTTAAGCACACAGGCAGGCATGCACAGACACACACACACACACACACACACAGAGACATCGCACCTCAGCTCAAGGGCATTAAACATTACAACAACCACAATATAGAGACATCTATAGCTTCACTGTTTCTACTAAACATTCCATTCAACCAGATGCCAGTTCTCACCAGAGACTGAGAAAAGTACACTTTATTGTTTGTTTGCTGTGTGTGTGTGTGTGCGTGCAACTGAACAGATGTTTCAGATAATTGTGATGGAGGACATAATGGTGAAGCTCTCTTTTTAAAGGACAATGGGCAAGCAGCGCTGGTGAACACACAGAGGCACTCACAATGCTGCATAACACATAGACACACATTTTCAAACTTTCATTTATGTAGAGCAGTTTGTTAAGACTGTGTGTGTGTGAGAGCGAGCAAGAGAGACAGAGGCAGAGGAAGAGAGAGGAAAGCTGACCATGAGTGGGGCCATAGCCCGGTTTTTAGAAATAGCAAGGTTATTTCCTGCTAGGTGGGGTTCGGGGCCATGCCCCTTCCAAACTGAACAAAGGAGCACAAATGTAGTCTCTTTCAGGTTTTGGCCTAAATTACCTGTGTGTTTTAACACTCATTACTGAAGTTCGTCCAAACAATAAACATAATCTAAAAATTACACACGGCAGTGACAGTGAACATTTTACGCATGGAATAAAGTAGAACAAAGGAAAAGCTTTTGTGTAATAAATATATTAAGATAATATTAATAATTAATGTAATATAAAAATGCAAAAATTAAGTAACCAGGTAGCTTTTGGATGCAGGAACACTGCTTACCTACTGTACTGTAGCCTACTGCCCAGTTTGTACCTTTTTGTTTTTAACTCTTGGGTAAGGGTAGCCAGGCAGGGATGGAAATTGGCAGGTTGCTACACCCACCAATTTGACATGCAAGGGATAAAAGAGGTACTAGAAGCCTTTTAACTGGGAAATTACAATTTGACTCGAACTTATTAATTTGCAAAAAAATCCACCGACTAGATAAGTTGTATAAAAAAGTTAAAAAGATTGTATACTTAATAAATCTTTAATTTAAATATATCCCAATACATAATATGCCCTTTAAACTAATAAATAATACTTTGTATTTCAAAATTTTCAGGATGACTGGGGTATTTACTGACATATTTTATGTTGTAGAACAAACGTGAACATCTCTGTTAACCACAGACCTAATTTTAGACATCTAACAAAAAACCCATTCACTTTGAGATGAGGGAAGAGAATGTGCTAAAATGCTGACTCATTTCCAGGTTTTAGGACTCATTCCTGCAGCACTCTATTAATGTAAGTTAATAAAACTGTCCATAAGGAAGCTGAGAAAGTTAAGGTTAACCTCCCTCTTCCCCAGCTCCACCCTCTCGCCCAAATATGGTCATTTCTGGCTCCAAAAAAAGGCATGGGGATGGACACAAAAGCAAACTCGAGACTACAGAACGGTAGTCCACAAAGCAAAGGCTGATGTCACAGTGGCTACATCCACATCTTTTCATAAAGTCTGTGGTTTGGACCAAAGAAAAAATTACATTATTTCCTTTTAGTTCCTGGTTGTGTTCACACTAGCTAAAGTTAACCGAGAGCGGTAAAGATGAACTTACAGACTCAACCGACTGACAGGTAACTCATTTAGGGCTGAAACGATTCATCGATTAAATCGATAACATCGATTCATAAAATGTTTCGACACAAATTCTTTGCATCGATGCTTCCTTTAATCCAAGTAACTTTACAGCACAGTGTTTCGCAGGGACATTTATTCCTGTGGCACATCACGCTTACGATGTGAACACGACGTGATTATGATGGAGCTGTTTGCAAAGTGGAGGAAGAGAGAGAAAACAGCGAGGGACAAAGAAGAAAGTGTCCAAAGTATGGGATCATTTCAAGCTAAAGAAAACAACTCTGTATTGTTACCGTCCGTCCACCGTAAAATGAAACTTATGTTGCCTCGGCAACAGCATGGCGGCGCCTGATCAGAAAGCAGCCGGTGTTCTGCCAGCGGACCACAGACAAGGTAACAGTAACAGCAACGTTAGCATTTAACTGAAATCATGATTGATTGTTGAGTTGAAGCCAAAGTAAGCTGCAGACCTCAGCTGATAATGTGACCACGTGCGTTTGTTGTTCTCCTTTTTGGCCGTGAGTTGTGACCTCACAGTCATGAGTTAACTGGGAGTCGGGGAGCTGCACCTTGTAACTCCCCTGCAGCTCTCTCTGTAGCTCAGACAATCCCTGCTACCTGCGTGTGCTAATCCATCCTTTCACCCAGATTCTTTGTCTATAATCGCCATCTTTATAATAAGAAAAAAAGCTGTTTCGTGGGCAGGATCGCTCATTTCACGTTTCACAGTGTGTTTTCTTGACAAAACGTGGTTTGGAGACCAGCGTCGGGTGACAGAGCCACTGTCAGCTCCTGTAGTGTGTGTGTGTCCCATTCATGTTTGTGATTGTAAAGCAGCTGTCTGGTTGTTGATGTTTGCTGTATGACACACTATGAAGTTCCTAAAAGATAAATAAATATCTATCTCCTATAAACGTGCACAGCTGATCCCGTTACGGTCGGGGGGGAGGGGTTCCGCCACCAAGCAAAAGTACTTCTTAAACGACGCATCGATGAATCGTTGAAATAATCTATCGAAGCTTCGAATATTAAAATCATCATGAGCTGCAGCCCTAAACTCATTCACTGGACAGTGGTGATGTTGTTCTGTACATTTATGTTCTCTGGTGTCACAAAAAGCCTACAAAGAAATAACTGATCATGAGTATCATTAACAGTATATACACCATGTCATGAATACTGATAAACAGGTGAAGACAGGGCAAAACTGAGGTGTGTTGTGCAGCAATATTCACACTCACACTGGGTCAAAGCTACAGTATTATGCATTTCACATAGTGTCCAATTTACACCTCAGCAAATTATAGTGAGGCTGAGGAGAACAAAGAGGATCACATGAAAGTCAGGGACAAGAAGAAAAGGGCAGCAAAATAACACAGTAAGAGGTAGAATGGTGCAGTGACGATAACAGCTGTTCCACGCATCCTCCACTCCTACACATTCACATCCTGAACAACACAAATGTGCTGATTAGGAGAAACAAAGCGACGAGAAAAAAAAAAGAAATCAAAGAAATGTTCAAGTGCAAAATCTGAGAGACAGAAGATCACACCCACATGCTTAATCTCTTTTCTCCTCCTACTCCCTCCACCAGCACAGCAAGGACTCAAAAAGTACAAATGAATACTTTCGCTCCAGCTCAGACTTCAAACAGCAGGCTTAATAGAATTATTTTTAGATCCTACTTTACTACCTAGTGTTTACTGTCATACAGTTCCTCTTATCTGAAAAATTGGAGTTGTCAGGCCAAGATGGCGGCAGTGCTACCAAAGCGCCATTTATCAGCCATATTCCCAAAAAAAACACAGAGTTTTGCCTCTTGCCCGATTGGATACAAAACAGCCGATCAGTGTTACTTTCTCCAAGTCTGTGATTGGCTGGTTTGTGGCACATTGTAATACACTGGAAAGCTGATCGAGTGTGCAGGCAGAGTTGAGAGTGCACACAGCGGTGATGTTGAGAGAAGAGTGAGCCGGTGCTCAGTTGCCTGCTAGAGCAAAGAGCAGAGACTGAGCAAGCGTAGGCAGACTTGAGCAGGCCAAAACAAATTTTTATTTGCTCAAATATTTATTTTCTCTTCAATATATAATTTGTGTGCTTTCCAAAGTCTTACTGTGTGCACACGGAAATCCCACTCTGTGGGCACACATATGACCCCATATACTTAAATAATGACTTTTCTACATCTAGTAATGGTTAAAGCCTCACAAAGCCAGCTCAAAGTGTTCATTTGTCTTGTTTGGAGATGGATGTAAATTTAAACAGGCTGTTCAAGATATGAATGACAACGCTCTCCTTCAATCAGACATCAGCATGAACCCTTCCTATACCCAACGAATAATCAAACCATTTGCCTGGTCAGTGATTGGTCTTTCATTCAAATTGTTTATCAGGTAAACAATGGCAGATTTCTGGAAACAATGCCTAAAATAAAAAAGTCTTACACTATCTACCAAAATCAGTTTCTGAGTACGTCTAATGCCAGAAATAACCCATGCAATATTAGAAACAAACTTGCCTACGACTATATGGTACGTGGACAGTTCTGGGGATGTTCTGATAATTTTTCCTTATTTGGTTGCTTAGTCATGAAGTGGATTTTTAATGCTACAGCAGTCAATAATATTTTAAACAAATGTGTGATTACAACATGGCAACAACTCCATGCACAAAGCGAGAAGAATATGGCAGGCCTGCACTGGATCACCATGTGCCAGACCTCATTGCCTAACATCAGTATTTGACCTCACTGATGCTCTTGAATGGGAGCAAATAGTCTGGCATAACAGTATGTCCATGGTTTCAGAATCCTGTGATGCATTTTCACATGCCACTTATGTGTAGGAGTCCTCACACTTTGACCATGTAATGTATCTACTGACCCAGTTTTGTTAATGGGGTTTGTGTGTTTTTGAGAGGGGTCATCATGTCAATCCTGCAGAGTTTGCTGACTGGTTCTTTATGTACTTGTTGGGAATGATCAGTTCTCAGTGGATGTTTAAATCTCATAGTGAAAACTGACCTGGAGAGATGCAGCCTGGCTTTATGCTCAATCGTTTATATCGTTGAGTCACAAATTCCACACTTTACCATAATATTTTGGTGAGGGAAAGACACAATGCACAGCTGTGAAGTTAACTTTACATTGGAATTCAACATCTCCAACATGTCCAACGTAAAACAAATATCCAACTTGAAACTAACTTCGTTAAACGACTTGCCCATGGACCAGCAGGTGACTTTATAGTTCGCCAAGACGCTGCGGTGATGTTAGCTGTAGCAGCAGGAGAGCTGTGAGTATCGCTGTCTGGAGATGCTGTGTTGCTC